TGGAAGTCAGCTATCAAGCTCTGCAGGCACATCTTCCTCTGCAGCGTCCTGTCTGCATCTCACATTTCTTCTCTTCCACAGAACCATGTTCCCTGGGCTTTATTCCCTTGTGGAACCCCCATCCCATGTTGGCGCTGGGCTTGAGCAAGGGACTTGGGGACAATGGCAGTGTGACCAGCAGGAGTCTGGTGAGCGCCGGCACATGGGGGCGTGTCTGCTGGACAGCTTTCTTGGTGTACAGGAGCTCAGGTGGGCTGCAGGATGAGGGAGACATCATGGGTCATGTGGTATGCCCTGAAGGACGAGGGCCCACGTGTCTGCTCCTAGGACAGCTGAGCTTCCCACTGCACGCAGCACTTCAGTGACCAGCTGCACCACCTGGCAAAGGGAAGCCACCCAGTTCTGCCCGGCAATCCCCAGGTTTGTGAAATACAGCAACACACTGTTATCTGAGGACATGCATTCGAGGTGGTGTGTCTAGCAGTAGGTGATGGATCTAGAACTTCTTTCCTCCTTTGCTCTAGGGCCCCTCACTGAGATAAGGACAGACGAGTCTCCTGAGGTATCCTGCAGTGCAGCTCGGCATTTGCAGTAGGGACAGCCCTCAGTGGGCCGGTGAGATGTGCCCCCTGGGCACCCGTTCACGTCATGACACAGCAGCTTTGTCTAGGAAGAGTCCTCAAAACAGATCTCTAGTTTCAAAGAGGATTATTTCAAACCATAGCTCGTGTCATAGCATCCAACTTACACATGACAGCTTGTTCTCATGTGCTCATGCCGCAGTCCCTGTTGAGTGGACTCGACCCATTTCTAATTTGAAAGAGTAATCAGAAGTGTTCACGAGGGTCAGGTTGGCCATGGAAACCAGAAGCTAATTTAGACTCTGGCAAAACCACAGATGAATGTCTTCAAAGGAGAAGAGAAATAGTTCATACGATTCCTGCTAAAAGTTGCAGTGGACTTTAAGAGTACAAATCATGCTCTTCCCAGTTCCGCCTGCCTCCTCATCAGCACCGACCGACCAAGCCTGTCCTGGTAGCTGTTCACGATACCTGATGAATGTACAACATGAGTCAGCCTGCGCACTCCGGAGGAGTTAGCACAATGGTTAATTCAGGTATGCAGGCTCCCATGGCAGGCAGTGCAGGTCCAGCCTCTGCAGGAGGGCCAGGCTCCCCAATTTCTGAGGACTTGGACATTGTTTCCTCTTTCTAGGACTTCCCTTTGTGGGTCAAGGAAACATTTTCCTACAGGAGATGCATCTTCTCTTGTGCATTCATCAGGCAAGGAAGGGTGTGATCTGTGTGACTGTGCCAGTCGCATTCCTGAGGAAACTCTGTGCAGATCACTTTAAAAATGATTATTTCAAAGGCAAAATAGGGGATTTGGGGCTGGGCCATTTAACCTCACAATAATAGAGTAATTTTGCCTGCAGGCATTTCAATAATACTGGTGTTTTTATAGCTTGAAGTCTGTAGTTATAAAGCTAAATATCCGTGGGCAAATCCAGCCTTGATTACATCTAGCTTTTGATCAAGATAAATGGTCTTTGCTTTTCTATCCTCCCCAAGACTGTTATTGGCACAAGGCTTTTTAGCCATTTTTATTACATTTATCATCCACTGTTGGATAAACACATCACAAAGCCGCTCAAACAAAGAAGCTGACGGGAAGTTTCTTTCCCTTCGTCTGATACAGCGTGAATAATGAAAATCACGTCCTCCACTAGCTACTTGGCAAACACGTCTTAATGCCTACCTAATGTCAGGCCCTGGGCACAGACCCTCGCTGGGGGCAGGATGGACGTCTCAGAAACGCCACCACCACACAAGGCCGTGTCACGGTGCTGAGTGGAGTGGAGAAAATAAGCAGGCTCAGAGGGGTCCGGGTGGGACCTGGATTTGACAAGGCCGTGACAGTGTAATCTGCATCGCATCGAGAAGCCCCGCTGTGGCTTCCCCGGAGAGTCTAGAGGTGCCCAGGCCCTGCACTCCCGTGTGAGCCTGCGAGGAGGCCGTTTGTGCAGGCCGTTTACTTGGGGTAGTGGTCGAAGGCAGAAGTGGAGAAACAGACACTTGGGACGAGAAAAGAGGTGAAGGTGGTGAGCGTGCAAGATGTCGACAACGGGCAGACAGGTGGGCTCCCTCCGGCTGCAGACCCTTGGGTCACTCTCTGCGCACCCACAACTTCCGGGGGGAGGTTTATTGGGGAGGCCTGAGGGGAAGAAGCTGGAGAAGCCTCTGGGCGGGGTCTCCCCGGGAGCTGCAGGTGGGAAGGTCACAGGTCATGGTGTGGGTGTCTGGGGGCTCAGTCCGTCCACTGCTTCGCAGGGCTCCGACCTCTGCACTGCTGGTCCCTGCGAGGAGCAGGACTGAGCAGCTCCCCTCCCGAGTGGCGGGGACGGCAGGGGAAGGCTGGGGACAGGAGAGCTGCGGCCCGGGCCCACCCGTTACCCGCACATTGCTCGGAGGAGACTGCGTGGGCGTGGGCGTGCGCTCAGCTGTGTCATCCCCACGCACGATGTAGGCATTGAAGTTCACCAGGTAGAGCAAGGAAATCGATGAGTGAACATGTAATCAGGATAGGGAGGGGTAACGCGGGAAGGCGACGCATGTATGAATCTGACCGAAGTATTCACTAGGTACATGTACAGCAAAACTTTGCATAAATATGTAGTAAAAAGCTGTGGCCCACGCCTGTAACCCCAGCCCTCAGGAGGCTGAGACAGGAGGATCACCACGAGCTCAAGTCCAGCCTGAAGTGAATAGCGAGACTATCCCCCCCCAAAAAAACAGCTAATTTAAAATAAAAGATTCAATAACCTGCAAGCCAGCCTCTGCAGCCTTTGACGTCTTCTGTATGTCATATATTTGACAGACTGCAGAAGCAAACAAAAGTGAAGTCATGGGGGCAAGCTCGAACTCGCTGTACATGTAGATGGGAAATGGATTTTAGTGTGGACAGGCACCTGAAAAAGCAGGACGCTTACGGACGAGGTCTGTGTCAGGGTTCAAAGCAAAACAAAAACCCCTCCTCTGGGCACGGTTCTTCCCTCTTCCATCACACTCACCCAAAGCCAGGAACGCAGTTTTCATGGCTTGCAGCTCAGCGCTCTGAAGCAGGATGTGCAGCAGAGGTTTCGGGAGAACAGCTGCAGTGTAGCCTCTCCCCGGCGGCCCGGCCTTTCCGATTTTAATCGTTCTCCACAGGGTCCACTGCAGGGCTCCTGTGTATCCTCACTTAGGTGAAGGGACAACACTAGGGCTGTTAGTGGTGATGATGGTGAAGGTAACAATGATGCCAACTTAACCAGTGCTCTCTCCGGTGCCGCTCCCAGCTGCACCCCCAGATACGCACTGACAACAAATTTGGGGAGACCCCGAGAATTCCTGGCTGAGAGGGACACCTTTTGCTGAATGTTTACTTTTCCCTATCCACTCTGCTGTGGAAGGAAACCTCCTAGGCTCTGGAAGACCAGGTGAGGCCTGGGACAGAGGCAAGAGGGAGCTTTGTATTCGAAAGTAGAGCAAAGGGCAACAATGAATCCCAGAGCTGCTGCAAGCAGTGGATGAAGGAAGAGGCGGATCAGGGGCCCAAACAGGAGGAGCTGGGATGCAGAGTGGGGGGCGGGGGTGAGCGGCACAAACCCGGAGGGAAATACTTCTGGTCAACCGGAAGTGCTTCTCGTGCCTTGACACCTCCTGGGAGAGGTGCAACTCAGGGGACAAGGGGCTGAGGTACTCTGGGCTTTGCAGCTGCGGAGGGGTTGGCAACTGTTGACTCATGAGGCAAAAGAGCTAGTGATGGAGAGGATGGATTTGAAGCCCACATCCACCATGCTTGGATTCTTCCCCGCTGGCCCACCTGGCTCTCCTCAGCCTCTCTCTGTGCTCTGCGATATTGGCCTCTAGGTTCCCCGTCCCTGGGCTCTCCTGACCTGGCTTGCAGTCGGCGCTGACCATGGGAAGTACTGGCAGGAGACCGCAGGCTGGCGGAAGGAGAGAGGACATTTCCTCCCAGCTGTGGGTTGGGCAGTGGCTGGTTTCAGGCGCATTTACAGCGCTCGTGTCGGTTCAGCTCCGCCGCCATCTGTCCTTGTCCCTGTGGGCTGGATGGGGGCGACAGCTCCACCACTCTCCATGCCCCTCTGAGCACAGCTGCCTCCCTGTCTTACTTTGTTCAGGGTGCTATAAGAACATACCTTATCTCTAAAGGCGGTGGATGTAAATCCGTACGACTCCCGTGGAAATCAGTATAGATCCTTCAAAAAACTACAACTGGAGGTTTTGACGCAACTGTTTCCTTTCACAGTCTCTTCCTGCAAGAGCTAAAAAGCATCATACTGCAGCAATATATGCACATCCATGTTTATAACAGCAGAATTTATAAGAGATAATTTAGGAAGCAGCCCATGTGCCCACCAGCAGATGAGTGGATAAAGAAAATGTGGTACACAGTGGAGTGCTACTCTGCCGTACAGAAGGATCAACTGGAGTCATTTTTAGCTAAAGGGATGCACCTGGAGACGTGAAATACATCAGACACACAAGTTTAAGTATTGCATTGTTTCTCTTGTGTGAGACACCCAAAGAGTATTTTTTTCCTTAGTACAGGGAATTGAACTCAGGACCTTGTGCTTGTCAGGCAGGTGCAGTGCCACTGAGCTACATCCCCAGCTCCCCAGAGAGTAAATAAGGAGTGAAAGAGAGGGTAGATATCAGGAAGGGGGAAACATTTTTCAAATGGGAAGGGGAGCAAAGTAGGGAGAAGAAGAAGAAAAGGAACAGAGCGGAAGGGGTATTAAAAAAAGAATGCAGGGGAAGAAGTGCAAACAAGGCTTTCTTCAAGGGGAAGGAACGAAGGGTTGAAGGGAGGGACTGGGAAAAAGAAGAACTAAGACATTACGTACAGGTACGAACTCCCTGTGATGAGTGTGATCACTATGTGTGGCAAATATGTACTAACAAATAAATTTTAAAATATACCTTAAACAGATGGGCTAATAAATAGTAACACTTTATTTCTCAGGGGAGAGGATCCCAGGCAGCCAGAGTCAAGGTGCTGGCATCCCCCGGGGTCGGCCTAAGGCATCTCTGGCTGTGTCCTGCGTGGGGAGCAGCTGTGGGTCCCCTTTCTGTCTCTTGCATGAAGGCGGCCAGACTGTGGGCTCTGATGGAGAGAAGCTCTCAGTCCACTCCCCTCTGGACCTGAGCTACACGTGTCACCATGGGCAGGTCACTCCGTTGTCCTCCGGTCTGCAGATGAAGCGGCTCCCAGGATGCACACCTGAGATCGATACCAGAGGGCCCCACAGGTCGGCACACGTAGGGCTCTTTCCACATGACGAGCACTAGCGAGGGCTGCAGGCACCGTTCCACTCAGGTCCTTCCACGTCCACGGCATAGGCATTTTCTTATTTTCCATCTGGGGAAAGGAAACTATAACACAATAAAGTTTAGAAAACAGAGTTGTGATTCAAAAACCAGGTCTGATCTGGAGGCTGTTTTTTTCCCATCACTGTGTAAAATGAGTCTTCCCACCTCATTACCAGGGAGAGAACAAAGCGCAAGGTGAACAGCTCACAAAACACGCCGATGTCATCCAGCGATGACGGACTGTGGTGCACGTTTGTTTTTAAAGAAACGAATCTCCCAGAAGTGAGGTTGGACAGGGAAAAAGAGCATTTATCAATGTCACACCCATCTCGGCGTGAAATATGGTGCTTTTTTTTTTTCCTCAAAGAGAGCTTGTTACTAACAATTTTTTTTTTAAGTCACTTGATTCCTCCTCTGGCCTCAAGGGCCTTTGCCTCTGAGCACACCAAAGTGCCTTCCAGCTTTGATTCTAGCAAAGGACTACTTTCATTTTCCCAGCTGTGCCCGGGAAGACACGAAGTTCTGGAAGTTCTGTGATGCACTGAACAGTCCGGCTCTCATTCTCCAGGGCCCAGCTCTGGTGCTCAAGGCAGGCTGGAAGGGGCACCAAGGCTTTTTGTCAAAGCCTTCTCGGCGCGCTGGGCTGTGCTGCCTGTGTGGAGATGGCCGGCTGGGCGTCACCGGCTGGTTTCTGCGAGCCACCCCCGGCAGCGTCTCCTGAAACTTCTCACCCTTTTCGGCTTCTGCACATTGGAGGAGGCATTGTCTTGTGCACTAAAAACCAGTTGATAAACCCGAGACCGAGGCAGCGTGCACAGCCCGTGCGCGTGGTTCTGTTGTTGGACCGGAAGGAAGAGGGGAAAGTGGCTGTGTCAGAGCAGGTTGGCGGAAGTCCTGGGAACGGTGCTTCTCCCCAACAGACGCAGAGGAAGTTAATGAAATTCAAATTGGGGAAAGGAGCACACACACACACGCACACACTCGTCGTCTCCCTGGAAGAGAAGTCAGCAGAGCAGGAAAGCCGACCGGCTCCCTCTCTCCCGTGCAGGCCATCGGCACCCTCCTCCCTCACCACACCGCAAGCGTGGACAGCGTGGACACCAGGAGCTGACGGAGATGGGCCGCGGGGACAAGCTCACAGCTTGGACCACGAAGAGCCGGAGGACTCCTGCAGGATGACGTCTCCGTGTCCTGAACCGCGAACTGGCCCTCCTCGCTCTTTCCCTAATAACAAGAGCTCTGCAGGCGCCCTGCCACCGCTGCCATCACCACCACTCAGAGGCAGAGGACCCAGAGCAGGGTGACCAGTGCCAGTTACTGCTGCACGAGTTTCACACGGCTGACGTCGTCGGTCCAGACATGCGGGGATCGCGAAAGCAAATGGGTTGCCGGGTGTGAGTGGCAGGCGCAGCTCAGCATGCCGGGAGGCTGAGGCCAGAGGGCTGCAAATTCAAACCCAGTCTGTGTCTGAAAACGTTTCAAAAGGCTGGAGATGTATCCAGTGTGAAGGCCCTGGGTTCATTCCCCCGAACTGCCACAACACAAAAGTTATTTTATTCTCATTTAATAAATGAGGAAATTGCCAGTTAGGATGACATAGTAAAGCGGATCTGGATTTCAGAGCCAGATATTAAATCCTAAGTTTGTATGCCTGACCACTTTCCAGTAGGGTCCTAATCCATCCTAAACAAACACTGAGAAACTATTAAAGGGGGGGCACTTGCCAGGTCACCCTGCTTCTGCTGAGAACCAAATGAAGAAAGCACCGGAAACTTCACTGTCACCCGTTTAGTGTCCCCCTGGTCCCTCATCTCGGTGACCTGAATTTGCCAACACACAACTTCCTCTTTGCCAAATTGACCCTGGAGAGAAACGCAGGCCTTTTCTTGTTTGCTGTCCCCAAAGAGGGCCATCTAAGTATTTACTGGATTTTACAGAAACTTTAAGGTGTGGCTGGGGACAGAGGAACGCCAGGCGCCCTGCCCGAGTCCCATTCCCACAGCTTCCCACGTTCCCTCCTCCAGCCCCGGCCCCGCGCTCTCCTGGTCTCTCACCTCTGGCGCTCTCTGGCCTCCTCGAACTGAACGCTTTTCTAGCTTGGTGAAGTAGATCCCCTCTGTGTTTGTCTCTATTTCAAACTCTGCTTCTGTGTTAGTGAGGCTCACTAGGAGAACAGGGCGTAGGTCTATGACTGCACGAAGAACTTAGCAGGTAAGCTCACAACGACCGCCTGTGGAGTAGAGGTGGAAGAATGCAGAGTCGGCTGTGCACTGGAGGACTGGAACATCCGGTGAAGGGCAAAGCCTGGAGAGTGCTGCACGGTCTGGTGTGTGTGTGAAAGCCAAAGGGTCCGTGCTGGAAGCCTGAAGGAACTGGAAGTGAACGTCCTAAGAGGACGGTGAAGCAAGGAGCACACTTCCTTCCCTTTTTATTCCATCCAGGCTCCAAGCCTATTGGTTGGTGCCACCTCTTCTGGGGCGGGCCCTCTCTCCTCAGTTGGCAACCTACCTGTCAGTCATCTACAGACACACCCAGAACTGTGATCCACGATCCAATAGGAGTTTCTTTTTTGTTTGTTTGTTAGGAATCTCTTAATGCATTCAAGTTGACATCACAATTAAGATCACAGCATCAAGTCCATTTCTGTGCATCTAAATCTACAGTCAAGAGAACACTCCGTTTATGGTTTCCACCTTCCTTGAAAGGCAGGTGCTAGAGACTTCCTGTCCTCCTTTCTCTAGGGCCACTGCCCTCCGAGGCCCGGGGCTGCTCCTGCCAGATCTCAGCGGAGCTGGGGTCAGCCTGAGTGGTGACTCCAGTGCCCCACACCTCTCCCGACACCCCCTCCCCCACCCCAGGTCAGGCAGTTTCCCTGGAGACTGAGTTCACCAGGTCTGGTTTCTGCCTCTGGGTCAGGCTGAGGCTTCTGGAAGCCAGAGATTGCTTTGGGCTTCTGGAGTCCTGTATGGGCATTTGGCACCCCGTAAAAAGCTGCTCATTAAGGGCAACCGTAGGCTGCTTTCCCTTTAATAGTCTGGCCATGGAAAGTTTGAGCCACTGGGGAGACGAGGTGGAGACTGCTGACTTTGAGATGCTGGACAAGCCTGTTTGGCAAGGCAGTAACAAGACTCCAGAGGGGAGCCCAGCCTGCCAGCCAGCAGCTCCCAGCGCTCCCAGCGCCTGGAGAGCCCAGGGAGGTCTCTATAAAATATAATGACAGCAGTTAAGCCAGTCAAGGGTCCACTTTGGGGCTGAAATTCCAGATTTGTCTTCATTTTTTCTTTTTCCCTTCCTCTTGAGGTTTGGCTCACCGCTCTTTCCCCCTCCGGAGGTCCTGTTGACACAGGAGTGCTATTAGGGCTTCCGGAGGGTGGGACAAAGGATGACGGTCACAAAGGAGGGCTAATTGGCTGGAACTCCCCCCTCCGCCCCCATCCAGCTGGCCTGAATCGCCTGGGGTTTTAGTTCTTCCCAAAGGGTCTTGGCATGGGTGGCTTGCTTCTCCTTTCAAAATAATTAAAACCAAAGAAATTCAAATGAGGCCCTTTCTTGCTGTCAGTGCTGTTTTGCCCTCAGTTGCTGGGTAGGCGGAAGTGCGGTGCTGGGGACATTTTGGCTCTGCAGTTGGACCCAGGTCCTGTTAACTCTTCCTGAGGACACATCCAGGTTGTGACACACACACACACACACACACACACACCCCGAGCAGGAATGACAAACTCTTGGCACGTGTGTGGGTCCTCCCACTCCACGGCTTGCGGCACGCATCCCTCACGGGCCAAGGCATTTTGTTTTTCCAGCTGAACTTGGGCAGCCCCGTGATTCTTCTCATGGCAACTCCCACAGCAGCCCCTACCACCAGTGTCCAGTGCTGGCTCAGGCTGGAATCGATTTCACGTCTGTGACCGTTGACTTAATTCCGACACGCAACTTCACTGGGTTAAGCAACGTCCGGCAGATTATGAAAGCATGCTCGTGAGTCTGCCTCAGTGGGCCGTGAGACGTGGCCTTGGGTACTATTTATGGTCCTCGGGGGTTCCCCCTCTTGCCTTGTCCCGACATTCCTGCCTTGGAGCAGCCCAGTGCGAACTGAAGCACGAGCCAAAGTAACCCTCTCCTCCTCGAGGCTGCGTCGGTGTTGTGTCCAGCAATGGAAAAGCTAACACAACAGCCTCGTCTTTCCCCAAAACTGTTCGGAGGCATGGGAAACATTGCCTTTTTGCCAGGCACTGCAGCATGGGCAAGGTAATTTGGGTAAGTTGCAGGGTTGTTTCTAAACACAAAAGAACCTCCTTTGTATGTCTCAAGCTTTTTGTACCTTCCTTCTCTCTACCCGCCTCCACACTTCCTTTTCTTCCAAATGCATTGTTTCTTCACCGGAAGTGGCTCTTCTTTCCAAGGTGCTTCTAACAACAATCCCAATCCCATGATTAAAAGCTCCACTCAATCCAACTGAGACTCCCTCAGCTTAAAATTTATATCAGTGGCAGACGATCTTCTGGATTTAGTCCTCAATTAAAATGAAAAAAAAAAAAAATGTTTCCTAGAAGGAACTGAACACTGAACTCAGTTTGGAATCCCTGTCACGGTGAGGGGCTATAGCAGGTCATTAAGATCCAAGGTAAGAGAACAGACAGAATTGGACTTGAACTGCAGCTGGACCACTGACTTGTTGGATGGCCTTCGGAAAGCTAATTAGGGTTTTGGACATATTTCTTCATCAGTCAAATGGAGAAAATAGAAACCCCTTATTTTATGTTGTGTTGAGAGAATAAAATGAGTTCATATCTGTAAGGCACTTAGCATATGTTTGCAAATTCTGAACACATGAGGTCCTTTTCCCATCCGCAAACTTGAGGCAGATATTCATGAACCAAGACACACTCGTAAAGTTATGCTGATTTTATCCTGTACTTATTGAACACTGGCCAAAGAGGTGAAATGAGCCATCTAAAAGGTCAATAACTAATGTGAGACACAATGGGCTTTGAACATTGGTTTGATGCATTTCAAAGGACACACACTTAATCACCTTGCTTCCTATTTGACCTTAAACAAGTGATTATGTTTCTTAGCTTCCTGGAGGGAGAAGCAGAGATAAATAAAATGAATCTTATTGAATTAGGCTAAGGATTAAATGAGTCAGTGTTTGTGGCACAGCACTTGACCTTTTAGAAATGTTATCACATAATTCATCATCACCATCGTCACTGTCTCTGAATCTGCTCCCTCTTCCCCGTTACCTACACGGTGGCTGGCACAGTTTTCAGTACTGGTGAGTAACCCTATGGAAGCTGAACGGGGCATTGTTACACCAGCCAGTGAGGGAGAACCACTGTCAGGACTGAGAACTGGGGCCGACCCCTGAATATCCTCAACAACAGTTCCAGGACATCTCTTTCTAGATGCCTCTGGAGAGGCCTGCACGGATAGCTTGTCCAAGCGAGGACCAGGAGCTCCCCTCAGGCTGAGCTTCTCTGCCAGACATGGCCATGTGCAGAGCTTGGTCTCCACAAGGTCCGCGAGACAGAGACCATTCTTTTCCTGCTTGTGTGGGAGTAACTGTTAGGCCTCTTGCGTGTAAAGGGACAGGTGACCGGGTCACATGGAGAAAGAGGCCTCATGAACTCCTGTGTCCCAGTTGTTAACATCCACGCCAGGAAGACATCACTTTTGTTGAGAATGGCAGGAAGGGGTATTTTGCCACTAAGAGTTGGGAAGAAAGAAAGAAAAAAGACTTCCCTGAGCTTTTGTTGGAAATGTCTCCAGACAAATGCTAGTGTACAGTTACTTGCCTGACTTCTTATACTTCTTCCCCATCAGGAAGTCACTGTGACTTGGGCAGTCTTCCTTAAGTGTTAGTGGTCATGTCATTCTTAAACATATATTAATTCCAACTTTATCCTTCCATTGGGAAAATGGCAGAACAAACCTTGCTTCCAGTCCACACATATCTGTTATTCTTCGTCACTCACCTATTTAAAAAAATTCTTATTTTTGTTTTCATGTTTTGAGCAGTTTTAGGTTCACTGCAAAATGGAAAGTACAACGATTTCCCATATTCGCCGTGGCCCCACACAAGCACTGGCTCCCCCAGTGGCAGTATCTCCTCTCTGAATATCACTGTCTGAGTTACTTTCTCCTCACGGGGACACAATCAATACCCGGCACCTACAACTTAAATTGAGGAGAGGTTTCCTTTGGCTTATGATTTTCAGAGGCTTCAATCCGTAGCTGCTGGCTCCAGGGCAGGAAGGGTTTGGTGGCCAAAAGCTGCTCACATCATGGCAGCCGGAAGCAGACAATGAAGGTCGGGGCCAGGATGGAAACCTTCTGGGTCACAGCTGCCATGACCCCTCTTTGACCAGGCCCAACCTCCTACCAGCATGGTCAGCGATGGTCTATCAGTGGATTGATCCGCTGCTGAGTATAGCGCCACCATGATGGAGTTGCCTTCTAGAAGCCCAGCTTCAAACATGAGTCTTTGCGGACACTCGATCTAAACGGTAACAGGTGCCCTTCTCTGACACATCATAGTACCCAAAGCCCACACTTTCCTTCAAGGTTCTCTCTTGGCACTGTGTGTTCCACACGCGTCATTACAGTATTATACACGGAGTCGAGTGTTTTCAGTGTCCTGAAAGTCCTCTGTGCTCCTCCTACCTAGTCCTCCCTGTCCTCTACTGCTCCCTGATCTTTTTACTTTTCCTTTCGTTTTGCCAAAATAACTGTGTGGAGCTTTTCACTTCCAAAGAACTGCAGCTTCTCAGAGAAGCTGGGGAAGATGCAGTCTCTGTGTTCTTACCCCCAGCTTTCCTGACTGTGCTGCTGAATCCAGACACACCCATCCAGACTAAGGAACCAGGGTGGGCACAGGGTTACCAACTGAAGTACAGACCGTGTGTTTCACCTGTGTTTCTCCTAGTGTCTTTGAGGGTCCCTGGTCTGATGCAGAATATCACGTTTTCTTAAGTTGTCATGTTTCTTGAACAATGATCTGTGACGGTTTCTGAGGGTTGTTTTTGTTTTTGTCTCTTTTTGTGGTGTTAACAGATGTTTGGCCAAACATACCTCACTTGGATTAGTTTAATGTGGCTCCTGAAATGAAAGTAAATGTTTTATTTTATAGTAGTTTTAGATTTACAAAGCTTGCAAAGACGGAACAGAGTGACCCATGTTGCCAACCCAAAATCATTCTTATATCTGTCACAGTTAATGAACCAATATTGATACATTATCAACTAATTTCCATAGTTTATGAAGTTTTTCTTAGTTTTTACCTACTATCTTTTTTCTGTCCCAGACAGGCTACTGAATGTAATATTCAGTTGGTTGTCATGCTTCTTTTCCTTAGTTGGTATTTGTCATGTCTCTCACGATTGAATGGGTGATGGGTATGACTTCTCAGCAGCGAGAATACAGACGTGAGTCTCTGTCCCTACCATGTCATGTAAAGGTCCATGTCATCACTATG